GGGAATCTATATTCTTACCCCTCTGCTAACTACAGTGTGAAATAAACAGCTGACTTTTAAAAGTCACTGTTTCTAGACCTAATACTAACAATAGAGTTAAGGATGTGAGGCCCAAAAAGCAATTGCTCCTGGAATGTCTGCATCTAATTCCCCAAAATGATAGTACAACTCAAAATGAAAGAGATCTACCCAACCTACAGGTGTTAAGCTGTAGGGGACAAGTTCTAAGCTTTACACGCAGGACTCAGTTCAAGGAGGAAGGATGAAGTGTGGCTGGGCTTAGGATCTCCCCAAGGGAGGTAAGGGTCTCCCAAGGGACCTATTCAGTTATGACAGGCCAGTCTTCCTATCCACATTAAATTTTTTTTTAATTTTTATTTATTTATGATAGTCACAGAGAGAGAAAGAGAGAGAGGCAGAGACACAGGCAGATGGAGAAGCAGGCTCCATGCACCAGGAGCCCGACGTGGGACTCGATCCCGGGTCTCCAGGATCGCGCCCTGGGCCAAAGGCAGGCGCCAAACCGCTGTGCCACCCAGGGATCCCAACATTAAATGTATCATAGAGCAGGACAAGAGTGAAACTGAAGGACAGGGGGAGAAAAAGATCTTCGATGAATCGGCAACTTAGAGCTCTTCAAAGGAAAGCTATTTAAATCTAAGGTGTTCCTAATATTAATTATCCTGAACATCTCACAGCCTCAGATTCACATGCTACAAAGAACACAAAGCCTTTTAATTTTCCTACCTATCCATGGCACTAGCGGTGATAAATCAAATATACAGAGAAACCACACATGACTAACGAACCAGCCCATTAATGGCGAGCAAAGATCATTTGCCAAGATGACTTATTCAGACATAGCCACATATCATAACCAGCAATATCCTGGAGACTTAACGCAGCAGGCATAGAAAGCAAGAGCTGGGGCACTCCCTGCCAAGTCTCAGGCACTCCAGAGCAACTCGGGCATGCTCCAAATGCCTGCTATCCAGGCATGAAAAGATTTTATTCACGACTGCCACCTCCCCACTCTCTTCAAGGTAGACTCACAATTGGAAAAATACTGCAACTTCTAAAAGGCCTCTCGGGTCATGGAGTTGCTGAGTCCCCAACCTTGCTATGGACCCTCCTCTGACACTCTTGAGAATTCCAGATACTCTGAGGAAGAAGAGCCAGCCTCTGTCACCAGCAACCTTAACTGTTAGTTTACAGATCTTTATTGTAGGCACTCACTCAAGCCACTGAGCTCCAACTAGGTATCAGACCCTATTGTAGGTGCCTGGGCAGATCCATAAATAAACCAGTAAAGAGGCAGGAGTGAGGGAAAGAGAAGAGTCCCCTAAATGTTAGTCCCTTTGTTTTACCACAAAAACAGTCCCAGTGATAGGATTTTTTTTCTTTGAGGTCAGAGTTAATGGTGTGGCTAGGACTCGAACCCAGGTTGGGTTCTTAGCGGGACTGCCACATACAGTGCTGCATAGGGGTCTGGGCAGAGCAGATAGGGATGAAATTCAATCCATGTTCTGTATATGGGCCAGGGTGAGTCTCATTCCAGTACTACATTCTCACTATCCCAGACTGCCCAATTCCCCTTGATAAAAGCCCCCTTCACTGGAAGGGACCACTGGGGTTCCCCCGATCAGCAACCAACCACCATCAGCAGAACCCAGGAAAGTTTAAATGCTTTCACTGGGATGTAACCCTGACAAGCTCTTGTCATGAGTGAGAAAGGTCTGTTGAACTTGAATTTGTAAGAAATCCACCAATGGTGAAGTCCCCTATAATTAACAATTATGACAATAATTTCCTATATTATCATCAGATCTAAAAGGGAAAGCTGCTAGCAAGGTGTTTTACATTCTTGCCGACTCCTTTATTGTTCATGATCCCAACCTGAGGATCTGTCATTGTTCAATTCCATCTTTAAAGTTCCATATAGGTGATGGGCGTAATTAACTTAATCAACTCTATGACTATCTACTCTTGATTAAGTGCCAGGGATACAACGGTGAATACCACCACCACTGTCAACTACAACACACCATTGTCTCTGACTTCACGGAATTCACGAATTGAATACAGAGCTGGGCAAAGTCCAATAGCTAAGGAGTCCCTGACCAGTCCCTGGCAGCCTGCTCAGGGGCCAGGTCTGGAAGCAAGAGTGTACGTGACCAGTATATTCACCCCTCCCTCACTCCATTTCACAGAAGGAAAAATAAGGTCCGGGATGGAAAGTAGGTGGCTTGCCCAAAGTCAGACAGTTGATCGTTGAACTGAGACTTGAACCCACAGTCTCCGGCTTTCCCCTTTCCACCACATTGCCTCCTCCAAGGTTCTAAGGCTACAGAATGAAGAAAAATAGTTGGTTCTACTGAAAGGTTGTTTCCTGATGCTTGTACACCCAAAACATGCCGCTTCAACCCACCTTATCAGCACAGACCTCATGCCCATGTTCATCTCTCAAACCAGAATGTTTATAAATATACTTCATTGATCTGGAGAGACTGGGTGTCCAGTCTTCATTCACTCCCATTTATCACCCTCTCTGGGTCTCTCTTGACGTTTACTTTCACTTTAAAAACCTCATCTTATAAGAACAGAGCCCTTTTTATCTGATGCTAGCTCCCCCTCTGCTCCTGGGGTCTAATCAATCCATGTCTAGAAATAAACAAGCCAGAGAGGGAAGCAACAGTCCCTTTTATGAAAACAGGCACCTTTCTAAAATGATCTACCCCTGGGCATGGCACAGATAGAAATTTAAATGAGAAGGAAATAAAGACATCCTCCAGCCATAGTCCTATGCATTCCTTATCAGGCAGGACACCAGGGAAGGTAGCTCTGTGTTAACAGCTAGACCAAAAACTCTGCCTCACATTTTTCAGGTTGTTTGGAGAGGCAGGGGTCCAAACTCAAGAAACCTAAAGAGACAACAGGCTTCAAAATATAATCATGTATATAGTTCAGCCGCCTTCATTCTGAAGAGCTTAAGGTCTCCAAGATAGTAAGAGAGGGCTCATTGAACACCAACTGCAGGTACATGCAAGCAGGCCTCCAGCTACTACCAGGGGTGCTCAGAGATGCCAGACTGAATGATCCAGACATCTAGCAACCAACACAGACCTTCACCCATCATGTTATTCTACACCCACCTGCAGAGCAGAAGTCTCCACACCTCCCACCACCCCCAGGCTGCTGCAGCCTGCAGCCTCAGCCAGCAAGGGAGCCTGTCTATGCATAGAGGGGCAGAACCAAGTCCCCACTAGCCAGCCCACCCTTCTTACCCTGATTCCCAATCCCAAGCTTTCAAAAATAGGTTACTTATCTAGATACAAATGCAGAAAGCACCTCTTCTGAAGAGGACAGTAGTTAATTCTTAATTGTTTGGGGGATCCTTTTGAAAATCTGATGGCAGCTCTGGACGCTTCATGAAAAATTGCATGCATGTAGTTTATATATAACTCCACTGGGCTTTACTGCTCTCCGGTTAGGTATAAAAAGACGGAAAAGGCTAATGTGCCCAGAGCCAGCTTTGAGAAAGGGAGCTGTGAGTGGTTCAGGTAAGTAGTAAAAAACACAGTTCTTAACCAAAAAGGGAGAAATGATGTCCCTTCCTTAGCTACTGCAAGTTCCAGCCTTTAATTAACCTTTGAGATTTCAACAAGAATTTGGAAACTGAGAGCACACACATGCACACACACAAAAAACAAAGATGCATCTTTGTGGCTTCCAATCTTGACGTCACAAAATGTCCTGTGATTGCTAGTGAAGATAGCATCTCCCAACAGGGTTTATGGTAGAAGGACTGAGTATCAGCAGAGGTAAGAAGTGGGGCAGAGGTAGACCCTGGGATGGAGGACAGTCCAGACAAGGAGAGGGACAGCTATGCTCTCCACTGGCTCTGAGTGGATCCGGGCAGGGCAGCTGCTGACCCTTGCTGCCTCCTCCCCTTGGAAATCAGACCTGCGACTCCTTTGCAGCAAGCCAAAAAGTCCAGACAGAAGCAGCCCTTTCCTTCTGGGTCCGCGGGGGAGTGGGGCGAGCATCCTCTCATTTCTAGGGAGGAGACCCTGGCCCACTGCTTGCCCATAGCCCCCTCGTGGCCCGAGGGTGTCACTGCAGCCCCCTCTGCGTTGCTGGGCAAAAACCTCTAATAGTGGTAGAGCAGAATATTTAGTCACGGGTGGCCGCTTGGCAACAGTCTTCAAGCCATGGTGAGGCTGCATTTGCTTTTGGTTTCTTAAACTAAGGCCAAGATCCACACTCAAAGTGATCCTTCTAAACACACCCCCCTCCCTTACAGTCCCACAGGGAGCAAGTCAAAGACCTGCTTCATTAAACCAATAACCTCGGAGCTTCTGTAACATGACCACTGCCTTATTGATTACTCTTTCCTGCATCACGTGTGATCCTGTACAATTGTTCCAGACCTCAACAGAAATAGTTAGCAAGAATGCACAACACCCCCTGGCTGGTAGGTTGCTAGCTTCTAGATGACAAAATACTTGCAGGACACCAAATACCACCCTCTCTCCACGCCCCCAAATCCTGGATTTCCAGATAGATAGCAGACCCTACAGGGGTTCAGAGGAAGCGAGGACTTAAGAACACACAGCGAGAAAGAATGTGGCCCTTGGCCCTGTGCAAGCAGAGAGGGTGTCCATTAAGGACCCTAACTGGCAACTCCATAAAGGGACAGCATGCAGCCCACCTGGGCCGGGGGCCTGACTGAAAAGACCAGGGTCTGGGGGTGCGGTGCGGGAGAACGGATCCGGTGGTCCAGCTACCATCTGTCAGGGGTGGGGAATGATGAACTGAACCCAACAGCGGGAAGGGGCCCACGGAGAAGGTGGAAAGTTTGAGAGGAGGGAGGAGGGTGCAGCGTGCCCGGAGGGCCTAGAGCAGCAGTGCAGGAACCAGAGGCGACCGGGGCCCCGGGAAACGGAGGGAAGCACCGAGGGTCTTTCCCTTTTGGGGAGGGTGGGGAGGAGAGTCCTTACCTCCTTGATCTTCTCCCGCCGGGCCCGAACCAGGCTCTGGGGCTCCTTGCTCTCGTCCACCCTCGTCCCCAGGACCGGGTGGCGCAGGCGGCTCCGGAACGCGCTGAAGTCAAAGCTAAACGGGACGCCCCCGTCCTGGGGCCCGAGGGCCGCGCCGCCGCCGCCCCGGGCCGCCGTGGCCGCCTCCCGAGCCCCGGTGGGGTGGGGGCGCCGCGGCCACGCGTTCCGGCGGCGGGGACTGGCCTGGCTGCTGGCGTCGCCCCCGCCCGGGGCGGGCACGGCGGGGGCCGGGTTGGGAGGCGACTCCGGCTCGCGGGCCAGCGGGTGGCCGGCGACTTCGGCCACCACCTCCAGGCCGGGCTGCTGGGTCCGGGGGGCCAGGAAGAGGCGCTTGAGGCGAGAGGAGTTGGGCAGCAGGAAGAGGGCCCCGAAGCACAGGGTGACGAGGCCCGAGAGGAAGAGAAGGAAGACGAACTTCTGCGGCAGCCGCAGCCCCCACGGGGAGGCCGGGACGAAGACAGGCACTTTCCTCATGAGCATCGTGGCCTGGCGCGGGGCGGGGGCCGGGGCGGGGGCCGGTCAGCGGCGGCCGGGCCCCGGGGCCCTCGGAGGGCAGGCCCCGGCCAGCAGGCGCTCGGGCGCGCGGAGGGCGTCGGCGGGCGCCGCCGCCGTGAGGGTCCCGCGGAGTCTGGCCGCTTCGGGGGATGCCCCCCAAGTTCAGGGAGTTGGGGGCGAGGGTCCCCCGCGCCGAGGCGGGGGCGCGACGGCGTCGGCGGGGCCCGGGCCCGCAACGGCCGGCCGTGCGCCCCCGCCTCCGCCCCGGCGCCGCGCAGCCCCTCCCGGCAGCGGCCCGAGCCCGCGGGGCCCGCGCCTTCCCGCGCCGCGGCCGCCGCCGTCACATGCCGTCCGCGGCGCCCAGGCCGCCCGCGCGGAGGGGCGCCCGCAGGCCTCGCCCCCGCGCCCAGCCCCCCGCGGCCCCTCGACCCAAAGTTTCGGCCTCAAGAGCAGTTTCCAGGGCGCGCGGGCTCGGGGGGCCAGGCGGCGGCGGGGCTGGCGAGTCGGCGCGGCCGGAGAGCGCGCACACCCGGCGGGGGTCGCGACAGCGCCCGGCCGGCCCCCGGGACACGTCCACAACTTTGCTCGGCCGCGGAGCGGGGGCCGCAGCGGGGGCCCGCACTTCTGCGCCTGCCGGGCCCCCGGGGGCCGAGCGACGCTCGAGCCGCCGTCCGCAGCCGGACGCCGTCCGCGACCAGCCGCGGCGGGGCGGCCGCAGCTGCGCCCGGGAGTGCGGGCTCCCGCCCCGCCAACTCGGGAGGGCTCGGCGACCCGCTGCGATCACCTGTTCCCGGCCCCCGCCGGCTCCGCGGGGCGCGCAGCCCCGGCTGCACCGCTCTCGCCGCAGCCCGCGTCCTCGCGGCGGCCGCTCCAGACGGGCCGCCGCCGCCGCCGCCGCAGGCTGCTCCTCCAACGCCGCCGCCGCCGCCGCCGCCGCCGCCGCCGCCGCCGCCGCCGCCGAGCCTGCGCCCCGCACCCGCGCGCACCGCCCGGACGCCGCCGCCGCCGCCGCCGCCGCCGCCGCCGCCGCAGCTCCGGCTTTCACTGAGGCGGCGCCCGCGGCCCCGCCTCCCGGGCCACGCCCTCGGGCCACGCCCACTGCGCGCGCCCCGCGGGCCTCCTCCGCCGCCGCGCCGCGGCCGAGCCAATGGCCTCGCGTCCGTGGGCAGGGAGCGCGGGAGCCGGGCGCGGGTGGGCCGAGGCGACGGGACTCCAAGCCACGCCCCCCTCCAGCGGCCGGCGCCGCGCACTGCCCCCATCCCGCCGGCGCCAATGGTCCAGCTGCGCGGAGTGGGCGGGGGCGGGGTGCCGAGCGGAGCCAGGTCATTGGCTGCCTCGGAGAGGGATCCCCGCTGGGCCGCGGTCGCCCATTGGTTAGTGGCCCGCGTTCGCCGGCCTGGGAGCGACCGAGAGCGCCCCCCTGGCCGCCCCCGGGTGGGGCCGGAGGCTCGGCCAGGCTGAAGGGCTCTGGCCATTGTTCGGTGACCTCTGTCACCCCTCCGCGCCGGTCCAGGGGTCCGCAGAGCTTCCCGGGAGGGGGCCGTGGTGGTGCAGCTGGGGCAGGCTGCGGGCCGGGAGGTGGCTGGAGCCAAGCCGCGGACCTGCGGCTGCGGGTGGACCAGGCTAAGGCAGTGTTTCCACTGGAGCCCCACCGACCACTGCTCTGCCTTCCTTTTCCCACAGCCGCAAACCCGGCTAGGGGCCCCGAAGGTGGGGGGGGGGGGATGCGAGGTGAGGACAGAGAAGAGAGAACCCTGGTCTTGTGTACAGACCACATACCTCATGTGACATGCGTACCTAGATGCCTGTGTGTGTTCGTAAGTGTGCTCCTGGGCAGAGATACATCCGTGCTCAGCGACTGCATGTGAGTGAGTACTTGCACACATACGCTTAATTTGGGTATGCCCACCAAGTGATTATACCAGAGCGTACAGACATCTGCTATACACATCAGTACAAATATCGACGTGCACGCACTTTCCCACTGCCCCACAACAGGTCCCAAAACATGCACAGGTATATATACTCCCAGACACGTGTGTGTCTCTACCCCAAGGTCCTCCCTACCTCGCGCCTTCCTCCTTGGACTTAAGTCTCTCCGCGCCTTCCTGTCCTGTTAAACCTAACCCAGGGCAAAGCAACATTGTGCTGTGTGGGTCTTTCATGCAAAACACTTTATAGAGACAAATAACAGCAGAGGGAGAGACAAATTAAGAGGTGTAATAGGCAAGAGGGAAAATATCTGCTTTCAGCTGCAACTTAAAATGAAATGCAGCGTTGACGAGACAGAAAATACTGCAGGGAGGCCTTTACGGATAGAAAAAGCGGCCCGGGCGGGCTCTCACCTCATAAATCTTGCTTCTTCCCTGAGGCCTGCTAGGATGGGCCACTGGGACTCAGACATCCTTCTACCTCTGGCTGGCCACAGACAGCAGACCCTCCCCTGATATTTAAATACCCTTGGCATGTAAACTTTTTCACTTGAAAGTAAAAGACTGCTCTGGGTAACAGGTGCAAATATGTTGGTCACTGGAGATGAATCGTCCCTCCCATTCCCACAAGTTGCACCCAGCTTAAATATAAAATTCTAATTCAAATGTTTCAATCTCTCATGAGTTTGATTGGCAGGAGTCAGTTCCCTGGAACCAGCTACAAACATCAGAGACAGACATGACCCACTGAGATGCAGGAGCCCAGATACCGTACCTGGCCTGGCCTATTCCCGTCCTCACTGCCCAAGCATCCCCTTGCTGGATCCCACCCCAGGAAGAGGCAGGCTTGTCTTTGGAGAACCAGGAACCCAGCATTCGTTAGAGGCACTCCAGATTGCTCTACGTTGAAAGGGTAGAGGAATCACTGTTCAGTCCCCTGAGAAGGTAGGATCCAGGGGAGGGGAGGAAGGCAAGGCTGAGTGTTAGAAGGATGTGCCTCTTTGAATGGGATGCTCAGTGGGATTGTGACACCCAGATCAGCCTCCCATATGCTGGTGAGCCAGGGTGGAAAGTGGGGCTGCAACAAAACTGGCGCATTCCGCAGACCCAGCTATAAAAACCAGAGCCCAGAGAGGACAACTGCATTTCAGACTGATATCTTGTCGGTGGCTACACTGAGTTGGTGACCTTTTACAGTCTCCCTAGAGTGCTCACTGAAACCCTGCAGGTTTCATCCCAGCTTCTGTAGACCTCACATATAGCATGGCTCTTTTATCACTGGGTTTTGCTATTCATATGCTGTTCTACAGCAGACACTTCCTCATGGCAGGGACCGTGGCTTGTTCACCTCTCGAACTGCCCTAGGTCTTAATTACAGTGTCTTGCACAAGGGCGCTGTGTTTGTTGAACAACCAATGAATACATGAGTGAGTGGATGCCCATTTCACGGATGAGGAAATCGAAGCTCAGGGAAAGGGATAATGATGAACTAACATTTTCTGTGTGCCAAATACATATTGCTTCGTTTACTTTTCAGAACACTCTTACGTGGTGGATTTTATTAATAGCCTCATTTTATAGATGAGAAGACTAAGGCTAGAGAGATGTAGGATAAGTTAACCAGTATCTTTCTCAGTTTAATTTAAAAACTCAGATGAGCCAGGGCACAAAAATGAATAGCCATTTAAAAAATCTATTCTGTCAACAAACATTTGTTGAAGTTAGATGCTAGGTATTTCACTAGTCTCAGGTTGGACACAAGACAAACAAAGCATGGTCCTTGCCATTCTTGATTCATTCTTTCAGTAAAGAACTATTTATTGAGGGGCGCCTGGGTGGCTCAACCACCCACTTAACCTGGGTGGTTAAGTGTCTGCCTCTAGCTCAGATCAGGATCCCAGGTCCTGGGATCAAGTCCCACGTCAGGCTCCCTGCTCAGTGGGGAGTTTGCTTCTCCTTCTGCCCCTCCCTCAACTTGCAAGCTCTCTCTGTCTCTCTCTCAAATAAATAAGATCTTTTTTCAAAAAAAAAATAACTATTTCTTGAGCATCTACAGTTACCAAGTACAGAGGGGCTGGGGATAACGGCCCTAAATAAGGCAGATGTGAAGCCTATCTTCAGGAAACTTCTTGCCTAAAAGCCAACAGGGACCAATTTAGCCTGTCAGGGAGGACCACAGGTCACCGGTCTACTTGCTTCATGTCTCATTCTATCAGACCCTCCTGATGGCTCTCTCTGAAGTAGGCTTTGAAATCCGAGTTTAACAGATGGAGAAACTGAGGCTCAGGGGTGTGGCAGGACTTCTCCAAAGCCACACAGGAAATGATTTGCAAATATGACAGAAAGCCAGAATCCATCTACTCCCAGAATCTATGCTCCTTCTGTTAATAATATTAATAATAACTAAGATTAATGAGACACTCATTATGCACCAAGCCCTTATAATAGCATGTTATATAAGCTCACTTATTTGATCCTTACAACCACTCCACGAGACAGGTACTATTATTACTGACATTCTACAGAAGAGGAAACCGAAGGACAGAAATTAAAGAATTTGCCCAGTGTCCCACATCTGAGAAGTGGCAGAGGGAGGATTTGAACCCTATCAGACGGCTCCAGAACACTTTATGTCTTTCAAGTCTATTGCTCTCCATCTTATAATGCCATGATAGCAGGTGCCGTAGGGGATCAGAGCAGAGCGCTGGCCTCAGGTGAAATTCTCACAGGCTTGTTGGGAGGATTGCATGAGCTCATTACATCATTCAACAAGTACCTGTAAAGTGCGTGCTATGTTCCAGGCAATATACAAGGCTTTAGGGATATAATGGTGAGCAAAAATAGACACATTGTTCTCATTTGTGGAGCTTACAGTCTCAAGGGGAAGAAGAGTTTCAACAAATAAGCAATCTCCACAAATATGTACAGAGGCTGAGATGACAGTGAGCAAAGAGAGAAATGCTGCAGGAGGAATGTGGAACAATGAATCTGGTCTAGACTGAGTTTGGGTTAAAAGTGGTCAGGGAAGACTTCCCCTCAGGCTGAACAGAGTGACATAAGCAACGAGGGATGGTAAGAATACATGGCTGACGGGCACAACATGTGCAAAGGCCCTGGGGTGGAAGGAACACGGTGCTTTTGAGAACAGAA